GTCGGTCTTGCAGGACGCATCTGCCTAACCGCATCAACCAGTCGCTCAACTCCATTTGTGTACCGACGAAATTGAACCCGTTGTCGGAGAATACATTCGATGGGTTGCCTCGTCTACCCACAAATCTCTTCCAGGCCATAAGAAAGTAGTCGGTCGACATGCTGTGTATAGTCTCTATATGCAAAGCTCGTAACTGCAGGCAGGTCATCAAGCATCCGTACCGTTTCTCCAACGACGTCTTTTGTCTCACCCAAAGTGGCCTGAAGTAGTCCACTCCAGTTTCGGCGAAGGGCCACCAGCCTAGTCATACTAGGGAACTGGGTAAAGAAGCCATCAGTTGTTTGCTGAATGTAGCATTCTACCGACGACAAGAGAGACAGTTGCCCACGATGCACTTCACCGTAGCTCTCCCCTTTACTATCCAAAACCGACAGGCGAATCGTGTAGAGTTGGTGATTTCCCCCGGCATGACCTTCCTGCGTGTGAATATGTATGATGAGTGTGTAAGTGATGTGGTGGTTGTTGGGCAAGATGATGGGGTATTTAGCGTCAAAGTCCAACTCAGGGTTTGTCGATCTACCGCCTACTCTCAGCAAACCATCTACCAATATTGGAAAGAGTCTTCAGAGAAAACTGAAACGTAATGCACATCGGTCGGAGTCACGATTCCCCTTGCCTAACCTCTGAAGCTCCGATTGGAAGGCTTGTGAATGAACCATGCGAACAACATCAGCTTCTGCTGTTTTCAATTCAGTTGGAACGATGGGCCCAATATTCAAGGTGTCATCCGGTCGGAGTCCTCTCAGAATAACGAGTTGTCGTTTGAATCTGGTCCATCAGACATACAACCTCAGCACCTTCGTCCATCGTGAAGAACGATGCAGCTTCTGCTGTAAGATGTTGGTTGAAGCAGTGACTAACGGAACGGGCCTTTTAGTCTCTCGTAGCTCCGTTGCTACAGGGGAAATCTGAGTGTCGGGCCATTCACTGGGCTGGTTTATCAAGAAAGGCGGTCCATGTAACCACGATTTTATTTTTTCTACGTTCAGCACACCCCTGGAGCAGTAGTCGGCTGGATTTTCACAGAATTTTATGTGCCGCCATTGACCCACCTCCGTTTCTTCATGAATGACAGCCAACCGTTTGACAACAAATGTGCTGAAGCGCATCCGTACATTGCTAACATAGTAAAGAACTATAGCGGAATCGGTCCAGTAGGTTGCGGCCCGTTCAATCGAGTTAAAACATCTTTTGATCACCTTCGCTACCCTCACGGCTAATACTGATGCGGCGAGTTCTAGCCTGGGTATTGAGACTGCCTTTAGAGGGGAGACTCTGGCCTTTGCGAACAGAATACTGCCATGCCTCTTTCCTACTGGCCGAGACGAGCAACTGTAGGCCTTTACCCCGTATCCAACCTCCGACGCGTCCGCAATAACGTGTAACTCACTTTGCTCTCCTTTGTGTATTCCTGGTATGGAACGAGGGAGTCGTATATCGCCCATCTTGGACAGGCTCAGCCACCAGCTTTGCCAGGTCTTGTGATCTGCTTCGCATAGGGTTTCATCCCAAGTAACCTTTTCTCTACACAGGTCCTGCATAAGAACCTTAGCCGGCAGTAGCCACGGTGCGACGAACCCCATTGGATCGTAAAGGCTGGTCAACGAAGAATCCCTCTGCGAGTGGCTTTTTTTCGGGTAGCTGTAGTTGAAAAATCTCATCTTTCTACGAATCCCATTGAACACCAGGTGCTCTGTCTATTGGTAACGGACTCTCCTGCAATTCACGGAGACTCTGTGCCCTCTCATCAATCGGGATGCGATTGATTGCTTGAGGGTTATTGAACCCAAATGTTCAATAACCGATTATAGGGCCCAAGTGCTCCGTATCGTTTAGGTTTCCAATGAACCCAATTGTTCATCAGCCGAATATGTTCAATTGTGGCCCGTTTTGCTCCGAGTTATTCATTTCCAAAATTAATAACTGCTGATTGGATTAGTGAATTCGATGTTTTTTGTTAAAGTGTCAAAGGATCATAATGTTGGTCGAAATGTTTCAGTCAAGTTGAATAGCCGAACATTGTGGATTGTGTGTTTGTCGATTGTCAAGTGCGTGGTGTTGCAGAAAATGTTGGTTTTGAAGTATTAAAATTCTAGTGATAGACGTAAAACAAGAGGGGCATATTAGTGATAAACATGAAGAGAAAACAAATAGAGACCAAAGGTTCCATGATAAGCGCCTGTGATAAGGAATTGAACAGTTCGTCTCAGTAAGCGGGAAAAGGGGAGAATCGCGAAATACAATAAACAACTAAACGTATCGTTTCCTGGCGTCAACCAATTACATGCTCATCACCAGGAGCGTTATCCAGGACCCCTTCTAAAAGGCATATATTTCTGACATCTCTTCTGAACGATCCACTAGTGATTTTTACCTCCACTTCTCTCACGATTCCATCTTTGCTTTTTCTGGTTTGCTCTATAAGACTCAACGGCCACTCGTTCCTGAATTTGCTTTCCTCTACCACTATCACTAAAGCTCCCGGTTGAAAGTCCCTCTGTTTTATATAGCACTTGGATCTGATTTGAAGTAATGGCAAGTATTCCCTCGTCCATCGCTTCCAGAAGCCATTTGCAATATCCTGCACTTCTCGCCATCTACGGTTATAACGGTCTAGCGTGGTTTTCACCTCAGAATTCAAATCGCACCGCCCTACAGTCAGCAACATCTGTGGCGTGAGTGTCTTACAAGCTTACGGATCGACTGATTGCGGAACGAGCGGTCTGTTATTCATTATCCGTTCGGCCTCCACCAGGGTCGTCAGTAAAAATTCGTCGGTCACCTGTTTTGCACTGAGGAGTGCCTTCAGTATTCTCTTTATTATCTCACTCAGCCCTTCCCGAATTCCCCTCTATGGCTGG